GAACTATTCTGCCTTTCAAAGCATGTTTCTTTCTTTTCACATCCAGAGAAATATTCTGCCTTTTCAATATTTCCTAGGATATTTCATTTTTTCTGGGAGAGGGCTGGGTGATAACTTCCCACAGTTGTCCCAAAGTTGCTTTTTCAAGAGGCAACTGGACTTGCTGGCTTTTCTTTGAAGGCGTTTCGCTTCTCATCCAAGGAGCCTCTTCAGCTCTGATCGTATGGAAGGGAATTTAAGGACCCAGCCAGAGCTGAAGAAGCTTTTCTTTTCGTCTTCAAAAAACAACCAGAAAGTCCATTTGCCTCTGGGGGGAAAAAACCCTTTGAGACTAAGGAGCTGCCACAAAGAAGAGGGGCTCAACCAATTCTCCAAAGCCTCTGAAGGCAGGAAAAGAAGCAATGGATGGAAACCAATCAAGGAGAGAAGCAACCGAGAACTAAGGAGGACTTATTTCTTGCCTGTTAGAACAACTAATCAGTGGAACGCCTTGCCTCCAGAATTGTGGGTGCTGCTCCAACACTGGAGGTTTTTAAGAAAAGTTTGGACAACTACTTGTCTGAAATGATATAAAGGCGACTGCTTGAGCAGGGGGCTTGCCCTAGAACAGGGGTCTCCAACCTTGGCAACTTTAAGCCGGGAGGACTTCTGGGAGTTGAAGTCCTCCAGGCTTAAAGTTGCCAAGGTTGGAGACCCCTGCACTCGAAGACCTCCAAGGTCCCTTCCAACTCTGTTATTCTGCTATTCTGTTCAGACGACAACTTCCTGAAACAAAATTAAAAAAAATAATAATAGCGGTTGTCTCTGGCTCAGATGAGCGCCATCCTTGCACAAGAGGCGCTGTTTCTATTCGCAAAGGAGTTGGGGGAAGGGGAGAAGGGGAGGGGGAGGAAAACCAAGCCTGGGTGGAATCGCCCTGCCTACAATTCCCAGCATGCAATGCACCAGAGGCGGTTTTTCTGCATTCGTGCGAACGGGTAAGCGATCCAGAAGAAGCAGATTTTCGTTGGAGGTGGGGAGGTGGGGGATCTGTGGAGTTGCGCGCGAGCGGGGGTGCAAAGCTAAGGAAAGGAACCGAGCCAGCCAGCAAGGCTAGCAACAGCGATCCCCCCTCCCGAAGGGTTTTGCCTTGGATCTGATCCTTTGGAAGAGCTGGAATCGCTCCTTTCCACCAAAAGTAAGAGGGTGTCCGGGGACCGGGGCTTGTTGCCCGCTCGTGGGCTGTGATTGCGGGATCGGGCAGGAGGGAGATCGGGGTCTGCTGTAGAGGTGCAACCGATCCCCGCTGCTTAACCCGAGCAGCGAAGAAGACATCCCCCCCCCCNTATTTTTCCACTTGCATTTTTACATGCTTTCAAACTGCTAGGTTGGCAGAAGCTGGGACAAGTAACGGGAGCTCACTCCGTTATGCAGCGCTAGGGATTCGAACTGCCAACCTTCGGTGCAGTAACACACCTCCCCAACCCTTCTCGCCCCACACAACGCTGGGCTGCTTGCCTTCTTCCCCCCCCCCCCCCTCCCCGAAGTTCTTCCCGCTCACCACAGGATAAACTTACCGCCTTTCCGGTCGCTTAGCAACAGGAGGGAAAAGGCGGTCCCTGCGCGCAAAGGATGTAGTGTAAAAACAGCGCCTCATTTCCCGCCCCCGCCCCCCATTACAGGGCAGGTTCCAGGACTACAATTCCCAGAAAGCATTGCGTGCCGTGCGGTAGGAGCTACGGTAGGAGACCTCTCCTGGCGTACGAACTACACATCCCGCCATGCTCTGGGCCAGCCTTTTAAAAGCGTTGAGTGTACTAAGGAAGTACGAGAGTAGATCGGAGCAATTATTAAAGTGAATAAAATAGAGGCATAAAAAAAAACGCATGTTTTCACCGGGGCTGAGCAATTCTACAAAACTACACGGGCATTCCAGATCCAACCTGTGCATCCTCGTCGGGTATTTTTTTTTTTAAGTGACAAGGAGTGAAGTTCAAAGACTACAAAATATTAAAAGATTGCAAGTGACCATTAGACTTTTCTCTTTCTTTTTTTTTGCAAACACACTACAGCCCTTTTTGGGTTACCGATCTTGTGTGAACGTTTTACCTTGGCACCGCTTATGTGGTGAGAGGGACCAGAAAGAAAATTTGATCCGAGTTGAGATCTAAGCGAGCAAAATCCAACTGAGGTTCGAGTTTTAGTGCAGAAGCTGTGACTAACGTCTTCCGGATGATTTTCGGTTTAAACAAAAGAAAAGTTTTCCGAATCAGCTGCAGGATAAAGGGACTTTTGCAAATGGAAACAGCGCCTCTTGTGCAAGGATGACGCTTGTGTGAGCTAAAGGCTAGGGTGGGGGTTTGAGGAAGTTGTCCCTTCCCCTCCCCATGTTGTTATCGTGATGCTGAATCAAAGTTTTGAAGAAGTTGTTGTTCATACTGGGTGGTTTTAAAAATGCAGTGTAGGAAGTCAGCACCCGCCCCTCTCCAAGGAAAATGCGATAATACTTTAGTAAATATTAAAAGGGCAGAATATTTCCCTTAAAAGGGAGGCAGAAAATCAGCCACCCCCTTTGTCAATGGACCATTAAGGCCTGGGCCAGTCTATTCTACATAACAAAGATCTATCTCCTTCAGGCAGAGCCATAATAGGAATTGCCCAAAGCCCTTTCATTACATCATCACCCAGCAAGAATCAACCAAGCTTGGGACTCAGGACAGCCTACAGAGTTGCCCCTGCATGGCCCCATAGGAGTCTGACAACTGATCAGAATACAAGCTCAAATTCAAAGCTCAATAGAGGGTGTATGTTTTCATAGATTTTCACGGGTAGAGGTATGCAGGTCTTGGTGTATTCGGTTCTTTTCCCGTGTAAGATTGAGAGTATCTTGGCGACGTTTCGACAAGGTCCCGCTCGCCATCTTCAGGCTGGTGTCTTCGGCTTCATGCTTGTGCAAGCAAAGCGTGATCAGAGCTGCCGTCTTTCTATAAATATTGGTGGAGGGCTGTGGAGGGCTGGCCTTGTTGCTGTAAGAGGGTTGGTTGGCTGTGTTGTTACATCTTGATTAGATGTAACAGCATCTACAGCAACAAAGCCAGCACTCCACACATCCCCCACCAATATTTATAGAAAGACAGCAGCTCCGATCACGCTTTGCTCACACAAGCACGAAGCCGAAGACATCAGCCTGAAGATGGAGAGTGGGACCTCGTCAAAACGTCACCAGGATACTCTCAATTTTACACGGGAAAAGACCCAAATACGCCAAGACCTGCATATATATATGCAGGTCTCAAACCATGTGGTCCTATCCACCATTAAAAGCCATATTTCTAAGCAGTCTCCATGTTTCCAGTGTCTTTCTTCCCACTTGGAATTGAACCCAGATGGACATTTCTTCCAACAGCACAAAGCCAAATCTGTAGTTGGACTCTGAAGGGTTCTCAATGCAATATGACCAACTTCTGCAAGAGTTTGATTCAGCACCACGTGTAACAACACCAGGGGAAGGAGAAGCGGGGAATCTAAGGGGCTGCCCTGTTGTCCCCAATTTGGGTCTGAGCCTGGTGCCGAAGCCAATGATGGACGCCAGACACGAGGTGCAGATTTTCTGATTGNAAAAAAATCATCCAGTGAAAAAAATGTAATCGCTGCATCTCCATGTTATTTCATTTATGATTTCTGAATAACTGGGAAAGTCAGAACAAGCTGCTCAATTATATTATTCTCAGAGTTGAATACGATCTAAACTTACTAAAACAAATGCTCTCCTCCCCTCCCCCACCACCACCCCCAAAAAAGGGGGGGGGGTAGCAAGCCGAGAGAAATCAGCTTGTTGCAAATTTAATCTCTATAGTTCAGAGTTCCTGCTGTGAGGAATTCAAAACTTAAAATACAAAGAAAACTTTATATGGACATTGTTAAAAGTAATATCCGGAGCTACTTCGGGGTAAGATGGGTGGCCAATAAATTTTACAATAAATTCAACATACCACCATTAGTCTAATGTTTTACCAGTTTTAAAATTCAGATCAAGTTAAAGAAGACTAAACATGCCATCATTTTAAATTCTTCTAATATTTAAATTCTTCAGGCTAGCAATTGGCTTAATCAAGATTTTTGCAATATTCCTAGACTGGGTGTTAAGAGTTGGGGTTAGCAAGTCCCAACTTGAGACAAGATTGACCAAAAAACCCCACAAACCCCAGTGCTTGGCTTATTTTCATAGCAACTTTTATCTACGAAGATTACAGGTGAATGTTTTCTCCATATTAAAACAAAATCAAAATACTTATGTCTAACAGATGAAACTTTTCAAGAAGCCCAAGAAAGCTTCATAGGCACATTCATATAGACAACAAGATGGAAGCTATTGCTATCTCCAATATGTTTCCCCTACGTCTCCATTTATGGCCGTAGTATTTGTTGGAGGTTTCCCATCCAAGTAGTACCAGTCAACTCCAATCCTGCTTAGCTTTCAAACATTGGCTGAGATACAAAAACCAACAAATCATTCAAAATACCAAGGAAAGGAATTAAGAGAGGCAAACAAGAGATAAGTGGTCCAATCTAGCATCATCCCAGTGAACACTTAAAAGGTGTAGGTAGCGTTTGGAGTAAAGAGTAAAGGAAAAGGGCCCCCTTGCATATATGTGCTAGTCGTTCCTGACTCTAGGGGGCGCTGCTCATCTGTTTCAAAGCCGAAGAGCCAGCGCTCTCCGAAGACGTCTCCGTAGTCATGTGGCCGGCATGACTAAATGCCAAAGGCGCACAGAATGCTGATATCTTTCCACCAAAGGTGGTTCCTATTTTTCCACTTGCATTTTTACATGCTTTCAAACTGCTAGGTTGGCAGAAGCTGGGACAAGT